TTCAGTACCTGATATTGGTCTGAATCCTTTGTGTCGAGAACAACTGTTCGGTTCTCAGATTTTAACGAAGACCGGCGTTTTACTCTGAAACTTTCCGAGTCAGAACCGTCACTTTCCTGGTATGTGACTAGTTCGTCTTGCACCGCAGGGAAAAATCGACTTCTTTTGTTACTGCTGCTGCTTGCTACTTCTTCTGAGAGCTTGTTAGAATCACTACTGCTGCTACAGTTAGCTCGTCTATTTACCTGCTTTTAAACAAAACAAGAAATCAAATGTAAGAAAGGAGACGGTTGAATAGAGTTTGTCTCATGAGTTCTTGGGACAAAAACTTACGTAATCAGCAGTTGCTGAGCATTCATAATCATCCACAACTGAAGAGATACACGAAGCATTTGCTTCATAGCTCATGACATGGTTTCCAGATTGCAGTTGGCCATGAGATGGAACCTCTAACACAGTATTGAAATCAAAGTATATAGCAGAATACGGTGAATATTCGTCATCTTTCGTAGCTGGAAGTGTGATTGAAGATGGATATGTATATAAATCTTCATCAGTTGTTATCAAATCTGAAACTCCATCTTCTTTCTCAAACTTCTTCGCAGCAGCTTCCATGACTTTGATGTTATCCCTCAAGAAAAGGGTACGCGTTGTCCCGCAAGGAAGGTCAAGCTTTTTTATATCTACACAATGATAAGATAACATCTTAAATTAGAAAACAGTATTGAATGATATGTATGGATGGAGAAAAAAAAAAAAAAGATTTTACCATGACGGAGACAGACAGGATGTGAGTAACAATCGCAGTTTATAAACGCCAAATAGCAATCCCGTTTACACAAACTGCACACGATGGTTCCATATGTATTCGGAACCAGGCCTGTGCATGATCTTGACTTCATCAGAGACCATCGAGCCAGATGAAGAAAACGAATCAGGTGCACAAACGCAGTCTTAATACTTCGTTGTCCTGACAATTCTGTCGGTGTAAAATCCAGGACCTCGGATTTGGAACTTGAGTTTAAAAGCATTGCTTCCTTACAAATCAATTCTTCATGAGGAAGTACTGGCACTCTGTTAAGATGAGCATACCGGCAACTAGCAATAGCTCCAAAAGGAAACCAGTCACCCATCGCAAAATTCACCGCCTCACCACAATTAAAGCCTACAAAAAGAAATTCAAAAAACAACCAAAATTTCAGTTGAGCGCGAGATTAATTCTCAAACCAAAAAAAAGTAGATTCAGCCAAAAATGATTTACCGTGGCTGAAGCCAGCATGATAAGCCCTAGGGAATGTAACAACGAACTCTCCTGGTTTTTGTACAGCCTTGTACACAGGCACATCATGATCCAACAGAATCTTTGGTGGGAATATAGTTGTCTTCCCTAGAAGCACATCAAAGGCTCCATCTTCTCCATTAGTTGACAGAATATCATCATTGTAGACACACTCTCTAACCACCTTCTCAAATTTAAGAGCAGCAGAACCAGGAACCCCATACCAAGTTTTTGATGCTCCACAATGTTGATAGTTAATGCTGTTATTGAGAAAGAAGATTAAAAAAATAGGAAGTGTAAGATACTTTAGATGGCAACTTTAGTAACCCATATACTGAACAAAAATTCATATTAACTGTTGTTACCTGTACAAATAATGGTCCTCAACATGCCAGGCAAACATACTGAACAGCATTCCAATGTAAAGCATGGGTTCAGTGACTCCCTGAAATAGGCAAATTCAAGTTAATAGAACATATATAGAAACTTCTTCTGTGTCTTAAAGACAATATATAAGTATATAACTGTACTACTTTTCGCATACCGGAATGGTTGTTTCAAGAAGGCGTAGGGTAGACTTTGGCAGCCTTGAAACTTTCTGAAAGAAGAGATAGAAAAGGCATTTAGCAACCAAACCAAGCATATATTTTCCTTAATGCTTAACCATAACCAAAAAAAAATGAGAAGGTATTGAAAATCAATACATTCAAGTTCCATTTGCTGCTTCCTAGCAGGTCACTTGGTGCAGATGAAAATGCGCTACCATCTACATCACACGCATACTCAACTGTTTCAGTCTTGCCACATGCAATTTCCTTCCAGAATTCTTTCTCCAAGAATGAGTCGGGCAAAGAGCCACCACTGCAATATCTACGTGCAAATACCTTGTTCGCCATTTTCTCATAATCTCGAACTGAATAGGTCCTGAGTAGTTTACAAATAATCAAATATAAACTATAATGTGAAGCTGTAGAGCTAAATGATTGATGGTTGAATACAAACCTCCCACTCATGAAGAAAGTAACCTTATCATCAGAATCCCACACAGCAAGTCGAAGGGGTTGTACTCTGGTAGTGAACTTAAAGTTTGATTTCTCTTTCATCAACACAGCGCCTGCAGGAACTGTTGCAGTCAAGGGAGATACAATCTTACAAATACCTGCATAAAATAGAGTCAGCAGAAGAGTCAGAGGAAGGGATATCAGTCTATTCTATTCATGCAGCAAATGTTCTATCCATTTAAAACACCAATCAGAGGCTCCAAATAACATAGGCAGTCAATAAGTTAAGGGACGCAGGTCTCCCCTCCTATGGCAATAATCCTTGCATATTTAGAATTTAGCTTTCGATGTCAATTTACCATATTTTGAAGCTTCAGGATAAATCTTCTGCAAGTAAGTCAGAGGATCCTCAAACTCGTCCTTTGTTGGTCTGTAGACAGGACATTCTGGAAGCCTCTCGGTCCATTTTAGATCATCAGTCTCAACCTTCTCCATTTTTTCCTTCAATAAGCCACCCTTACCAAAAGATGCACCATTCACTTTAGATACTGTGTCACTAGAAGTTACCCGTAATCTCATTCCACATGAAGCTGGAGGTGGTCTCAAAGCATCACCTCCACTCCTAGTCATTGTGCTGAAGTCTACTGTTTCATTGACAGGGTCTGATCTCTTCTTCTGAAGCCTTTTACGTTTCAGATATTCTAATCCATCCTTGGCCCCTTTCGACAAGAACATCCTCCTTTCTGCCTGGGAAAGCCAATTGTTAGCTAACATTCCTCAAGATATACATACAACTGAGTCATGGAAACACACAATATAGGTCCACCATTCACACTTAAACCCATTATAGCTACAAAATATTAAACTCCTGAAAAAGCTAAGAAACACAAAAGTGAACACAGAAAATGGAAACAGTCAACACCAAGAAGTTTAAAAGGCATTATAAGCATTTTTCACTTCCAGGTACCGCCTTATCTCTTTGACCAATACCCTACAAAGTCAAAGAACGTGACAAATTCTAATTTTCAACACCCTCGAAGAACGCGAGTCAGAGAAATCAATCATCCACAACTTCTTCTACAACACACAATTGTTTGACCTAACTGAGAGAGATTCGTCGCCATTTCAACAGAGCTCAAATCTAGAGTTAACACGTGGAGAG